CAATGGTTGGGAATTGGCTGGGAGCGACGTAGATCCCAGCACTTGAGCCCAGAAGGTTGCCCAAACCATAGTGTCCCCCCGTATTACCCATCGACAGCTAAGAGCCATCTGGGCTGAACCTTGTGGCCAAAAAACCTTTAGCTTCAAGCGCGGGGACTGCAAGGCACGAGCCTCGATTTGCAGACATACTGGTGCATATCTATCTTCGCGCATGTGCTTTTATGCATGTGCATATGTAATGTAATGTCACATGATGTCATGTAATGTGATGTATTACAGCATATGCACAAGGAGATTGATTACTTGCTTACGGATATTTCATCAACATCTACATGTATATATATATATATACATGCACATACAGACGCACAGACAGACAGACAGACAGACAGACAGACAGACAGACAGACAGACAGACAGACAGACAGACAGACAGCCAGCCCGGCAGGCAGGCAGGCATGCATGCTGCATTACGTACACGTACCTACACGTACCTACACAGACATACACACACATACACATACATACACATACATACACATACGTACACATACGTACACATACATACACACACACATGTGCATACATACATACATACAAACATACATACATACATACATACATACATACGTGCACATAACATGTGTCTATTCGGTCTACCCCTTGAGCATAAGGAATTAGATATGTACGTAAAGGCGTACACCTTGCTCAGACGCGCTCTGCACATGCAGATCGAAAACGCACTACAAGTTGGGACAGCCAGTGCGCAGTTTTCACTCTCACACCCGGCTTCTCAGGCCCAAGACGACGCCTGCGCAGAAAAGGAGGGCAAGGAGCAGTCGCAGAGCCGGCTTTGTCTTCGCAGAACTCACTTTCGCCAAGCCCGCGGGCTTGGCAGCCTCCAGCCTTGGAAAGCCTTGCGCCCGGAGCTGGCGCCAGTGCTCGTAGAGTTCGCGACCTTCTTCCGGAGCTCCCCGGCCCTCCCAACTCAGACAGCGCGAAGCCTCCGAACATTCTGGCATGAAGCGAAGGACGAGGATGACTCCCGTGGTCGCCCGGGTCAAAGCAAAGCTGCGCTGGGCCGTGATACGCCAGCTCGCCGCTGCCTCCACTGCTGCCTGGGACGCATAGGAGCGATTCAAAGCCTCGAGTAGCTTCGGCAGGACTCTCCGGCTTGCGAAAACCACCACGCTGCCACCAGGGCGAACCACACGAAAAATCTCCTGCAGCATCTGCTGGTAAAACGCCACCAAGCTGCCGCTGATGCCAAACTGGCGATCCCAAGGCGGGGCGACGACTACCTTGTCGACAGAAGCATCGCGCAGGGGTGTTCCGCCGGGCTGTGTGGTGTTGGCCTGATGTAGGACTACACTTTGCCTCAGGCTGCTGTGGCAATGCGGGCAACACGAGGAAAGAACATTGAAGCAGGAAAACTGCCAGAAGCAGGAGCTGTGGCAAGTTGCTCAAGCCATTCGAAGTTGCGCCGGCAATTCTCAAGTTGAAGTGCATCCGCATCGCCTGCACGTCACCACAGAACCCCGAACAACTTGACCGAAGCGCTTAATCACTTCAATCCTTGACGACGAAAAAATATGGGAAAGCCGAATCCTGCTAAGTTGCAGCCAACGTAGATCGCCCTCGGCCACCACACAGCTGCCTGCAGGAAAGCTGGGCTGCGTCACGCGCTCACGAGACGTCTAGGTCAGCAAGACCACACCCCGAAAGACTTCAGGATAAAGTGCCGAGACCTGCCTCTGCAAGGATCGTGCCCTTCCCGCACATGGGGTCCAAAACAGTTTCTCCCGGCTGCACATCCAAGCTTCTTGCAATGGCCCATGCTTCCACGTGGTGCATACCCTCAGGGTTCAGGGGCTGCGACGAGCACTGCTCGCACGATGCTGAGAGAATCCATAACCAATAGCTGCTACACGCCCAAAAACTCCCGAAGAGAGCTGGTGAATTGTGACCGTGCCTGGTGCGGGAAGCCTCCACCAAGTTTGGCCTTTTTCGACGGGCGCAGGCGTTTATAGTTGTTTCCTGCTGGTATCGGTTGGGGTCACCATACATTGCACCTGTAACGTATTCTCAGGCTGAGGATCGGCAAAGCATGGCAAGAAGGCCTTGAGGCTTGCTAGGCCGCTAGGAAGCCAAGGGGTGTGAGGCTTGCCGCCCTCGCGTAAGGTTGTGCAACTTCTGGGGGTTCGAAATGCAGGTATAGACATTCATACACACGGGAAAGACAAACACGCACACGTGGGTGGATGTCTGTATGCATGTACTTACATACGTATGTACGTGCGTATCTAGGCAGGCACGCAAGTAGGTAGGTAGGCAGGTGGGCAAGCAGGCAGGGCAGGCAAGTAGGCTGGCAGGTAAGTAGGTAAGCAGGTGCGGAAGTAGTGTGCCATATATGTGTGTATGCATGCTTCCTCTGTTACACTTGGTTTGTATCCAAATCAGTGTGGTCCTACGATCTTTACGTTTACCTGTACAATACAAGCGCACTCGGAATTCGCTCTCCTCCGTTTTGCACCTGCTTTTCTCCGTGATGACTTCAATGACCCTTACCACTGAAAACGGAGATTCGGTTTAGGGTTGAAGGTTTTTTCCCTTAGGGTTTAGGGTTTAGGGTTTCGACTCTCACACTCGCACAAGGCCGGCAAGGCTCCGCATGGTTCAGGGTTTAGGGTTTAGGGTTTAGGATACAATTTATCATGGCAGGCCGCCTTCTGCTGCTGAAGGAGGGGAACCTCGACTCGAAGCGTGCAGCCCTCCACGTGCAGGTGCAGCGCAAGGTCTGCAGAGCCTCGATGTTCCCGGGCATGTCTCTTGGGATTAAGATTCATACACTTTGGGGTTTTATGGGGGCTTTGGGGCACATGTCGCAGGCTTTCTGTGGGTCGGAGTAGGAAATCCATTTTCCTGTCAGACGTGCAGGATGCCCGGCCCTGCATGAGGCTGCTGAGCTGGAAAAGCTTCAAGACTTGAACAAAAACCGTGGACTTGTAGTTGCCGGGCGCATCTACAGGGCTCCGAGCTCAAGAGAGGCCGAGAGGCGACCCCGCCCGCAAGGATGCCAGCCGAAGCGGCGCTGCAGACAAAGTGCCAGCTCGCGATGCAGCTCGTGGGCCACATCCGCAGTGACGAGCCGGGCAAGCTGCTGAAACTGCCGACTCACCACGCAGCAGCTCCGAACCGAGATGTTCAAAGCTCTCAGGTCTCTTTCCACGTCTTCCCAATGGGCAAAAGAGTCCATGGCCTCCGCAAGCTGCCCTGCGGAGAAAGTTGCAGGATCTGCCGGGTTCGAACGGACTGGAGGCAGCAGCTCGACGGAGATGGCAATGCGACGGATGCTTCGGACGTGCCGGACCGCAGAGAGGGCCTGGACAACTTCGCTGCCGTCACTTCCGACTGCATCGAAGTAAAACCGTCCCGCTGCACAGTGCACATGTCGGCCCACAGCCTCTAGCTCTGCTCTTGCCATGCGATTCAGTGAAGCATTCTGCCCGTGGCAGGCTTGTATTGCGCTGTATTCTGTGGACAGCGCGGGTAAAACAAAGAGGTGTAGCTGGCAACGCAGAAGCTGAGCAGCAACAGCCAGACCAGCTGCATTCCACAGTCGATGTCTCAAGCGCATGAGATTGGGGATGCTGAGGCATGGTTGGGATTGCTACTCGGCCCAGGCTGAGAGAAGGAAGAAGAAACCACGACAATGCAGCAATAAGACCATAAGTAGGCAGGTAGGTAGGTAGGTAGGTAGGTAGGTAGGTAGGTAGGTAGGTAGGTAGGTAGGCAGGTAGGCAGGCAGGTAGGTGGGTGGGTGGGTGGGTGGGTGGGTGGGTGGGTAGGTAGGTAGGTAGGTAGGTAGGTAGGTAGGCAGGTAGGTAGGTAGGTGGGCAGGCAGGCAGGTAGGTAGGTAGGTAGGCAGGCAGGCAGGTAGGTAGGTTGGTTTGGGTGGGTGGGTGGGTGGGTGGTAAGCAGGCAGGCAGGAAGAGGCAGGCGGTAGGCCAGATTTCGATGGTCGGTAGGTAGTTGGCTAGCTAGGTGCTTGATTAAGTCGGCTATAAGTGGCAGGAGAAGCCGCAGCAACAGCAGTAGTTGCCCTGGTGGTGCCGACGGAGTTGGTGACTAGTGACAGTATATCGTACTCTGCGGGCTGTGGGAGTTTCTAACCTACTGTATCACGGCCATCACAGGACGAACTAGCCCGATACCCAGAGTAATAATAGCCACAATCAACCAATGAAACACCATAACTAAAAAAGCTGAGGTGAGAATGATGCGCTCCTGTCTGAAGGCAGCCGCAGCCAGAGAATGTTGCAGCGCGGCAGAGCAAAAACTGATAGACACTAAATGCACATCTCAGTAGTAGCAAGATGAAGTATGCCACTGCTGCTGTAGAATCACTGCGACGACGAGGACAAGAACGACAACTCAAGCCGGGAAAGCTCAGGTGCAGACCCTGCGGCAAAAGCCCGGGCGAAGGTGGACGCCATGGCCGAATAGGCAAAAGCGGACAAAAAGATGATGGGACAGACTTTGGCTCGGGGATTGGGGTTCTGGCGTAGGCACAAAGCTTTCAGATCAAGCTGTAGAGCTCGAGGCCCAAGAGCGAAAGGACTACCACAGCCTCGTCATATACGTGTGCTGACCAGGGAGCAGCTTCCACAGTAAAGCTTTTGTCTAGAGACTGGGGATGCTGGCTACACCTAGCATGCCGGGGAACTGTGCCTTTTTTGTTCTGCATTGTTCTCTTCGGGCTCCTCTACTGGATGTGGAACTCGAGAAGCATGAACATCAGAAGAAGTTGCGATCATCTGCTACAGCCAGGTTCAAACCTAGTTCAGCAAAGACTGGAACCGCTGACATTTTTCCGGTCTGTCCGGTGCCCATTGCCATCTCAGCTCGCTGCACGATGGCATCCGGCGGCGCACTCGAGAAGAGTCTCGCCCAAGGTTCCAGAATCCGGCCCCCACGCCCCGGCACACTCGCTCGAAGATTCAAACTTCTGGACTGTGTTCCTCTGCACGCGTCGCCTCCCACTCCTCCCCGCTCGGATCCTCAATCGGCTCTTCCTCCTGAGCTGGCGCTTGCTCGTCTTCCTCTCTCTCCGGCACCTGCTCTTCGGCACCTTGGTCCTGTGTGGGTGCTGGGGGGAGGCAGCTGGAGTGCAGGAAGGTGTTCAACTGCTCGGCATTGCTTTTTCCCATGACCTCCACCAAAGCTTCCAAGGGAAGGTCGGCGATTCCTGCGAGGGTGCCAGCACGGCGAGCCAAGGAATGCATGTTCCCAGGGGTCACTCCCGGAAGCTTCCGCAAGACCTCCAAAGCCCCGGTGTTCACCTGGACCGTCTTCACCTTGCCCTCATCAGGCTCGGGGTCCTCAGCATCAATCGCGGCAGCCGCCTTGGAGTCGGGTTGGTATCTTCCCTCCTTGAGCTTCAGGAAGACGTCCGCCGTGAAGCGCGGAGAAGGGCTCCAGATGAGCTTCAACTTGGGGAAGTGCAGTATTACCAGGGGCAGCTTACCAGTTACGTCCTTGGTTCCAACTTCGATCTCACGACGTTGGATGTGGTAGGTGCTCTGGAGCATGAACCCCTTGGCTGGATCAAACTCGACCAGGAGGAGTGGGTTGTCGTAGTGGTGGCACAGGTTCTGTGCCTGTTGGTAGAGCCGGCCACTCTGCAGAGACTGGACCAAATCTGTCACGGCCTTGCGTTCCACGCAGATGTCCCTTGAAAGCACATAGTCCCCAACAGGAATGGTGACCTGACTCAAGACCCAACCAGCATGCGGCACGCGGTATTGCACACGAGCTGGGCCCAAAGCAAAATACAAAAATCCTGCCGAAGCCTTTCTGCCAGGACACGGGCTCGACCACCAAGCCTCGAAGATGCAGCATGAAGGGAAGGGTCGACCGAAATTCGCGCCTCACTCAGGCGCAGGGTGCGGCGGTTGAAACGAAGGTCTCCCTAGAGCTGCAACTGATGCCTCTCCCTGCAACTTCTTAGAAAGAAGCCTCAACCAACAGCACTGAAGTCAGCCCTGGCACATGTCTACCACCACGCGGGGTTTCGTCATGCCTTGCAGTGCCCTCGAGCCCCCTCCGCGTCGAGAGGACAGTTCCGGGGCAAGCGCCTCCGTGGGAGGATCCACTCCTTGGCTGCAACACGGGACCAACGAGATGCCCCTAAACCCTAGGCCCTAAACCCTAAACCCTATACCTTCAGAGAGAGCGTGTGCCAAGAGCTCTCTAAGATATCTCCGGAGAAACTAAGATGCAGTTGATCTCCCAACTTGCCAGGGCCAGGGTTCTGAAAGTCAGGTGCTGCCGAGAACGGATCAGGGAATCCACCGCTTCGCTTTCCTGTCGTCAGGGGCTCCGGGGTCCAAAAAGTAGCTCTGCGGAAGGCCTGTGCTTGCTTGGAATGACCAGTGCGGCACATGATTGGCAACAGCTAGTAAGCAAGAGAAAAGAGAAATGCCAGCCTGCATCATACACTTTTCGAAGCGGGACTTCTCGACAGACTCCTCGAAGACCATGAGGTACACGTGAAAAGCCACTGGCGCCTGCTGAGTTGGCGCAGTGTCTGAGCCCGTCTCTCTCTTGACGATGGAGGCCCCGTGACCTTGCCGTGCCGATGCACAGTAGACTTCCAAGGCCCGAATCGCATGGAGCGTAGGCTCGAAGACAATGACGGCATGAGGCCGCATCTCTGCCAAGCGCACCTCCAGCTGTCCTTCAGTGTCTTCTGCGGACATTACGTCAATTCTCGGGTGACACATTCGCCCGTCTGGGAGCTGCCGAGCCTGAAGCGTGCTAGACGGCCGTAGCTCGTCCAGCTCTTGGGCTACAGCCTCCGCCTCGCGAGCCAGCACCGCCATCTCGCCGAATCTCAGCTCGTTCTGCGGAATGCCACTTGGGACATCCCGTCCCCTCGAGCTGCGATCGCGGAGGTACCTGTCCAGACCATCCAGCAGAGTCGCCTCCGGGCCCCGGTGAAGCAAGGTGGACAACTGACGCCGCGAGCGATCGTCCGGGGCGATGAGCAGAACTCGCGGCTCCACCACGCTCGAAGCCGCGTCGGGCACTGTGCGGGCTCGCTTGACCACTGGTTGCACCGTGATCTCAATGTCGCTGTCATCCAAATCCAAACTAATCTGAGTGGCCATGTTCAGGGAGCCGAACTCAAAGCTCTCCACCTTTTGAGACTTCGGGAGCTCCGGCTCAGTTCTTTCGGCCACATCTTGCAATGTGCGGTCGACTGCCTCAAGGATCTTTGCCCACTTGGCATGGGGCCGTACGTTCCGCTGCAAGACCTGCCCTGAGCCGTCCGGGCTTGGACGAATCTCGTAGACGCGTTGCTTAGCCAACCGGAGGCAAGACTGGGCGTCGTGGCTCTGCAACCACACTGGCGCTCTTCCTGGGTTCCCGGCATCTCCGGAAGTGCACAAACTCTCCAGCATTCGATGGAATTCCACAGCATCGCTGCGCAAGAGTTCCGTCAGAAGCCTCCGCACTCCTTTCAAGTCACTGACCAGCCGCCGGGCATGGGGCCCCAAGCTCAGCCAAACTGGATCTAACACCTCGCAGAAGGAGCTGCGGACACCGAAACCCCCAAACCCTAGACTCTGACGCCTAAAAAAAACCCAACAGCCGAAGCCCTTTTGACCCCGAAACTTTGAGAGAGCCCTTGGATAAGACCTCACCGGCCTGCTGCAACTCGGCCTCAAAGGCCGGAGACACTGAGTCGCGCACCTGGCTCAGGATTCTACGTGGGATCTCTAGGGGCGTGTGTAGAAGGGTTCTGATAGAAGGTTTTTTCCCTGGTTGAAAATGAAAAAACAATGTTTTCAAAAGACGGGGTTCATCAAGGAGGGATTGGAACACTTCTTGTGCGGTTTATATCTGGGGACGGGCTTCGGTGCTGCTTCAGGGTTTAAGGCTCCCAGAAAAGCCTCCGAACGGCCTTTGGGGTCGCGGGGTGTGGCGCTTCAAGTTGAAAGGGAAGCGCGCGGGTTCTACAATTCTGACGGCCTGCAAATGTCCCATGTCCAGGTTCGGATCCTTCTGGAGCTCCTGCAGCCTGAGCTAGCGGAGGCTTGAGGGCTTTGGGGTTTCGGCTCGCAGGTTTAGCGTTGAGGGTTCAGGGTTCAGGCTTTAAGGTTTTTCCCTCTCGCAGGGTTTAGGGTTAGGGTTTAGGGTCAGGGTTTGAGGTACCAGTAGCGGACGGCTTTGAAACTTTGGGATGCTGCAAACTTTACTGGGCGACCCGAACAAAACCCCTTCCGGAAAAAAACAAGCAGCGTGCTCTGCATGATGTTGAGGAGGTGGCCCTGGATGTCTTTGACATCCTGCGGCAGCTCCAATGTGATCTGGTGCACATCCTGCTCCCATTCCTCGTGCCGGAGGCATTCTTGCACATCCTTTCGGATTCCTTGTGTCATACCAGCTCACGGTACAGGGAGGAAATCGGGCCCTTTCTATTCTAAATACCCTCATAGACTATGATTCTATGATATAGAGTTCGCTACAAAGCAGTCAACAACTCACGAAGACCTTGAAGAAGCAAAGCCTGCCTCAGCAGACCCGAGGCTCGGGGCCAAATTTCCAAGTCGCTGACGAAGCATCGCTGCATCACTTTCTCCAGCTGACCTTGTCCACGCAGGAATCTATCCGGCATGTCCGAGATGGCTCTGACAAAGCCCTTCTGGTTGCCCACCTGCTGCAGGCTTTCATACCGAACAGGACACATTCAGTCAGATCGACAAGAAAGGCGTCGGAAAAGCGGTCCGCATGCAATCGAGCCACCCGGAATAATCGAAGAACGAAAGCATCGGCCGAGAGCTCGCCAACATCATGAGCATGATTTACAAAAACTCCTTCGATGCTTTCCGGTCGCAATCGATCTCCAAGCAAGTCCGTCACAAGCAGCCGAGCATTCACAATGAATGCGCCGCCCTGCGCAAGTGCAGCTTTACGCCCATCCACGCCCAGGGAAGATCCAATGACGCACAATTTGCTTTGTAATCCTCGCTGCATGTTCCGCAAGGCGCTTCCCTAAACCCTAAACCATCACGGGGCCATGAAGACACACAGCATGCAACCTCCGAGCCTGTCCACTTTGGATCTTCTGACGCACGCTTGGCGAGGAGTTCCGATTCCTCCTCTCACATCTGATAGCAAAAGCGATAATGGGCACGATGCCTCATGTGAACATGCACGATTTTTGAAATTCCAGATCGTCGGTCCTGCGTGGTATTCAACACGATGATGGGGCGTTTCGCACGCTCTGCATCGAGCTGGGCTGTAGCTAACACCCGGCGCAATGCTTCCAGCAAGATCTTCCTTTCAGCACTCTTGAGAGGATCATTTAACATATCCAGGGTGCCGCGAAACATCACAAGGCAACAAGTATCAACAAAATCCCAAGGCAACTAAATGTCTGGACGCCAAGGCCATGCCCAAAGATGGCAAGAGAAGCGGGCGAAGCAAGCCACTCATCCACGGCAAGCTGTTGATACCCCAGCATCAACAGCTCAATGAGTGAAGCATCCCTAACTTCCTAGCGACTAGCGTGGCGGGACTGCGCGAGTCTCAGGAAACGCTTGTACTTCACGTCTTCACCTAAACCAATGCTCACCCACCAAGTTGCTGACTTGACGTGCCCTGCAACGATCCGATATGATACAACTACACCAGAGCACAATGGCTGCAGCGACAACGTGTTACGTCACGAATGTGTTGTCGAAGCCAACCATGAACAAGCAAATCATTCATCAAACACACACGAAACAAGCAGAACAAAGCACTTGCCAATGATCCAGAAAATCCAAGCATGTCTACTAGTTTGTCATACAATTTGTCAGTGCAATGAAAGGGTTGCTGAACGCTTGGTGATTGCTCGAGGTTTCAAGTTTCAACTTTGTTTCAATGATTTTGCCGAGCTCTCCTTGCCCGCGTGCTTGGATTGTTTAAAGCTGTCCTAATTTTTTTTCCCAAAAAGCTCGCCCCCACGTCTTCGGCAAGGTCCAGCACCCTCCAGGCAGGAAGACCGACCCGCCAAAATTGATTTGCGCGTTGCCCCCAATACCAACAAACCTGTGCAGTCAGCCACAACATGAGTGACGAATACGTTGGTGTCAATGCGGCGTCCAAGCATCATCAGCACGTATGGCTTGCTGTTTGTGAAGTTTGCCACCGTGACACAGCAATTGTTTTGCTACGCAGTGGCTCTTTGAAGGTTGGCGACGCGCCGGTCTGGGCCACGCAGGATCTACCAGTGCTTGTGCGAGCTCGAAAACTTCTTCGCATGGGCTTGAAATGGCAGCTTGCACAGGGGGGCTTGTGGAAACAAGAGATTGACATCAATGACGACTTCACCAGCATGCACTTCGGAACGAAGCTTGTAATCACCAATGGCGAGGGTCGCTTGCTTTTCAACTGGGCTGCTGATTGGGCTCGGTGGGCGGAATTGCAGGGGGCTACGACAACTCATTGATCGATCATGACCTCGTGCAGCAGCTCGGGCGCCTTGCCGGCGACATTGCACCCACCACCCATCGGGAGCTCCAGTAAGGATGCGGTGAGGGAGCGCTGTGCAGCTAGTGCGGGCAGCCCGGACCAACGGGCAACCCACGCTGCACGCGCGGCCGCCCGCATGGCTGCCGGCACTTCCGAGGCAAGATGCCTGGCGAGCAACCGGAGCCAGGTGGCAGCCTCAGCGCCGAACCGGCCTCCAACCTCGACACCGACGATCACCAAGCAGCAGCGGCGAGCGCGCACGAGCTCGGGGTAGGTCTGGTGGCATTTGCGGCGGGCGGCGCCCTCAACAGCTCGACCGGGGTGCACGTCTGCACCCGGCTGGGCCGAGTCACGGGGCTGACGACGATGGCTTTTTTTTGGTATCAACAGCCTGCTGCGTGCCATGCCACAGAGACAGCTCGTTCGCACCAACTTCGATGCGGCTGTCATCGGAGACCGGAACATCGATGTTCATGTCGGCCAGGCGAACGTTACGGGCGACCCGCGCGCCGGCTTCTTGGCACACGCTTGCACCGCCTGCTGGAGAGCAAGGGCTCGCCATGCGAGCACACCGGAAGTCGCACATGCAGCCCCATGGTCGCCGAGAGGGTCAAGGCGGCCACGGCAGGCGCACGTGCGCGGCGCCACTGGCAGCGGTAAGCGAAGCCGTCGTAGCAGCAGGACGCGGAAGAGTGGTGATGGCACCATCACCTCGGCTGAGGTTGGCCTGCGACAGCAGCAGCGCTCGAGATGCGGCATCGATGTGAAACAGATGCAAATCAAGCGCGTGCTTGTCGATGGCAAGGGCAGCACAATGCTGCCAGCCTCGCAGAAATTCCCTAAACTCGCATTCTTCCTGTCAGCGCGTCCCACGCTGCAGCATCGTATCTTTGCTCTCGGAAACAGAGGGCCGCATGACGCGCAGCTGTGGGGGGCTGCGCGGTCTCGGCCGAGGACTGCAATGTGCGGACCAATCGAGCGGGTCGGCAAGCAGTCTACCCCCAAGCCACCAAACCGCAGAGGTAGCTGTGCGAGGCGCTGTGAGTGCTGAAGCGGTGGCTGCGGGGGCACGGACTCCTGCAACAGGAGGGTCGCAAGGCACGCACGCACCGCAGCGTCGTGCTCGCCCGCGAAGGCATCCGTCATGCCGGCCGGGAGCGTTCGGAGCAAGTAGTTTTCCCGAGGTGAAAACAGAAAAGCAGGAGGAGCCACTCGCACTGCAGTTCCCCAACGGCGGGCAGGCGAGCGAGCAGTTGGTCGTGGGTCTCGCGTTTACGGCGCAGCTCCACTTGCACGAAAGCCTTCCGAGCAGCGCGCCCAGCACCAGTGGCCCCTGCTGGTCCGCCGGCAAGGACGAGGCGCCGTCCAGACTGGGTCTGCACCGACAGGTTGAATACGGGCGAGGCCGGCAAGCTCCTCACTGGCCGCATTCCGTACGCGGGTGGTGCCTTGGTTCAAACGTATGCGCGCATGGCGCCAGAGCACGTCCTCCAGGGCACCGAGCAGCGCATCGGTGCGCTCGGGCGCTGACACAACGTAAGTGTCCAAGAATGCGAACATGGCTGCTTCGCTTAAAGCGGCATGCTGCGCCAGGAAAAAAAATGCTGGCATCAGCGGATCCCCTTGCTCGCCTCCGTCGCCTTGCGTTATCTCATGCTCGCTGCCGGTGTCGTCGAGCCAGGATTAAACGCTGGCGGGACCGGAGACCTTCTAACGTGGCCTGGCGTCGACGGACAGGAGGGCCGTGGCTGCATGGCGGAGATTATAAAGACCTTCCGTGCCCGCCCGCGTGCTGAGCCCAAACTGGTACGGGAGGCGTGCTGCCTGGAAGGTTGCGGCGAAGTGTTGCACCAGTGCTGGGGGGACGAAGCGCTTGAAGACGTCGCCCACAACCAAGGCCCGCACGCGGCCATTAAGCTTACGTAGCGCTACATGCATTTGGGCAGCAGCACTTTGCAACAGAGTCTGGTATTTCGCCCATGTTCCGAAGCTTTGGCATTGGTTGGCTATAAGCGTTTTGCTAGGGTTTCCACCTCGTCGCTTCAAATGAGCTGGTGCAGAATCGAGAATCTGGCCTACGCAGTTAGGCATCCGCTCGCAGAAAGACACAGCTGACGCAACATTAGTTGCTCAACAATTGCTGGAACAGACACTGAGCGAGATATGTTTCCTTTTTTTTGGAATGATGATGACAATGATGACCTCGATGCTTGCGCCGAGGCGTTCGGTAGCGGACCTGCCAATAGTTGAGCTCGTGTATGCAGATGACAGCATGGTTGTTTTTTTCCTGGGGCTGAAGCGGTGTCTAAGGGGTGTGATGGGCATTTGGCGTAAAATTGAAGCCATGCCCATTCGGTGTGCCTTCAACGTCATGAAGCATGATGGCCACCCTGTTGAATGCAAACTGCCTACTTGGTCAGTCTGCTTGATAATGTTGGGGAAATTGGACCGGAGATCAGAACCCCCTTGTCGGGGGGGGAGTCTGAGGCCCCCCCCCTCCCCCTATAAGGCTGAATCCGTTTCAAGCCACCCGCATGAAATAGAATAGAACATAGGTGGGGGTATGCAGTGATAACCTGCACAAAGTGCACGATAGAGTTTATTGGCACCCGCTGCTGGACGAGGAGGGCAACGTCCACTTGTCAAATTAAGTCGTATGCTGGGAAGATTTGGTGATCCTGTGTAAGGGTCCAATGGAAATCTACCATTTCCCTGTCATACGGGGCTCCGGTGGCCTCTGTAGTTAGGCTGCTATTATATTCCTATTAGAAATCTATTAAAACAGTACCATGCGAAGATTCCGTGGCCTCGTCTATTAGGCTGGTACTATATTTCTAATAGAAAGCTCTCAAATTCCCAATAGGCAGGGTCCAAGTGCTCGTTTCCACAAGCACGGCCATGGTCACAACCTTTTCCCCCAGCAGTTCCCTGCAGGCCGCCTACAACAACCCATGCCCAGGTACTTCAAGCACACGTTTGCAGCGACGAGTTCCCGCGACTTTAGCAAGAGCGTGTACAGCAAGCTTGCTCAGGTGGTGCCCGGGCCAAAGAACCCTCGGAAGGCTTTCGCGCGCCGCGCGCTTCCTGTGCGACGTTCACCATCATGCGCCTGCTTTGCTACCGGTGTGAAGTGGGATGTTCCAGACATGCTGCGCTTAAAATCTAGTACATGTGCATCCCCGACTATCTTGAAATGGAAAATGCAACGACATCCCAGGATAACCCTGAAATTTCAAGCCCGACCCCCACAACCCAGGTGTCAACCCCGACCTCGACCGAAGCTGCCCNNCCCCCCCCCCGCCGTTTCAAGCCACAAAGGGGTGTTGATGACCAGAGCTCAATCGCCGACTGGGTTCAGCCAGAGCTGATTTTGCTCTCAATCAAGTTTGGAAGCAAGCTTGCACTTCCGCACACAGCAAGGCTCGCATTTTCGATGCGCGCTTCTTGTTTTTCACGCGCCTTTTTTGCGACTGCAAGTCTCGCATGCACCCAGCTGCTGTACTGCCGGCACACAGCTTGGCTGAACAAAACATCCCTCGAAAGCTGGATGGCTTTCAAGCCCGATGTTTGCGCAGGATCCTTGGAATCCCCCAGCCGCGTATTGGCTGAGGCCAAGCCATTTTTCAAATTCTTAACGCACACACAACTGCAGCACTTGGCAGGATTTCAGGAAGGTTCGTATCAGCTCCAAGGTCAAATCAGACCAAAATGTAGGTCGCCACCACACACAAGCTTGGACCTCCTAGGTGTATCAGCTAGCTGTACACGTGGCAAGAAATTTTGAAAAGTTGAGTGTTCCATGGTCGCCTCCACCGAACGTGTTTCGAGCTCGTGTGCGATCTTCTGAACAAATCCTCTTGCGCACGCGGCTTTGGCTGACTGACTGGCTGCCGACGCCCTCGCATGCATTCGCAGTGTAGACGCGTGGCTCGAAGGCGTCGGCCCGCATGGGCAACTGGTCCCCTTTTATACGGTGGCTGGCGCACACAGCGGCACCCAACTTCCGCT